AAGGTAGATGTTAACAATACTAAAAATAAGCCACAGTAAATGGCAACTGGCTGACAGTATGTTCTAATTATGGTCTTTTTATTATTGAAATAACATGTAAGGACTGGTGTCTGTTGTTCCCTGAATATGAAAGCCAAAGGCTTTCTCCAGAAGGGCAGAATTTTATGATCATCCGTCAAAATTTACAGTGATAATTTCAACTTTGTGTTAGCCAACACAGGCAGGACACAGGAACAACCACAAAACCACAGATGAAATGCAAAGAGTAAATTTATTTTCGTTACCTTGCAAACCAGGGGATCCCCGAAGCAGCACCTGGGCAGAGGCACACAAGCGGGAACACAGGCACCGCAGAGCTCGGTCCTTGCTAGAGGATCGCCAAACCTGCTGTCTTCACCTGTATATCAGGGATTCATGCAGGCGTAGTTTACCACTGTGCTTTGATCTTTCCCACAGCAGGGCAGGAATCTCAACCTCTGAGTCTATCACAGGCCTGTGTTATCTAAACACAGATGTTCTACTTGTCAAGCACACATGACTAAACAATGATTAGTATGATATATGTGTTTTTCTACACCCCAGCTGCAAGTCACTTGAGTGTGTTTACAATCCTCCTCGCCTTTCTTCTGTTATTTTCCCACAACGGTCATTTGTAGATAAAGGAAATTTAGACATGAAGTAGACCATTTACAAAGTCTTAGAAGATGCTGGTAAAAGACCTTAATGCCTTGGTGCTGTAGAAGTCATAAAATTAATTAGGCCTACTTGTAGAATTTGGAGTGTCAAGTATTGCTGGGTTTAATTCAGATTTAACTTTTTTTATAGAGAATTTGGAGGTGCTGAAACACACATTAGATTATTTGTTTAGAATCTGTTAGGTTTTTTCATCCTACCATGACTACATGACTTGTTATTTGGAAATAATAGTAAGATTACATTTTTGTTCATGCAAATGTATGTTGAGTGGATGTTCGTATAACTCCCCTTTCCACAGATACAATCATATATGATGTTCGTGACTTGTTCTTCTAAAGTAATGTGATGATACAACCAGGGATCAATTACATAGCATGAGTAACAAACATAAAAATCTGAATGGTTTGTGAAGCAAGTGGCTTATTTCTTCCTTCTACTTTCATGAACTCTGAATGTTGAAAAGCATATGGAGTTGAAAAAAATAAATATTTGGCAAATGAGTTGCAAACAGAAAGGAACACATAAGCTTGCAAAAGTGATATGTAATGAGTATAATAATCAGCTTTGGTCTTCAATATGTCTTATCCACGTAATTCTTCAAATGAAATACCATATCATTCTGAGGTTCCATTAGTTGCTACTCCCATTTCACTAGCTTTGGGGGTTTGACAGTATATGGAATAATGGTACTGAAGATTCAGCTGGAATCAGTTGCCTCTGCATCCATCAGTTCTCTCAATAGGTACAAGAAATACTCTTTCATTCTAAAAAATTACAGAAATTAAATCGCTCAGTGTGGTATCTTATGGTTTTAGGTAGCAGGAAAAAAGTACAGCATTTGGTTTACTTATCTTGCTTATTTACATGGTACAGTCGCATAAAAATATGCGTTCCATAATCCAAATTCAATAAAGTCTTCCACCAAAAAAGTACAAAAGGAGAATAAATCAGAGCTTCATCTCACTTTTTCTATTTAACACTTAATCCAGTGAGGTTACTCTGATGTAACTGAGGGGTCTGCAATGGTTGGCGATACTAATAATAATACAAGATGAGAATAAAGGGATTCATGTTGATTTTTCAAGTGAGAATGGAAGAAAGGCAATGTGAAAAAGGATCATGTAAAACTGAAGCTTTTGGTTTGAAAATGTTGGCTTACGTTCCGGGGAGAGATGGAGCAGTAGGATTACAGCAGCCTTCCACTCTCAGGAGAACATGCATGTTTGCACGTAAGGTACAGAAAGGATAATTATATTGGCTCTGAAGTAGCAGGAGCACTATGAAAGTGTAGGAAAGCATAAAATGATATAGCAAAGAACATAAATTTTAATTTCATTTAAAAATTATCTTGCTAAGAAATAGGTAATAAGGTTCTCTAGGAAAAAAGGTTGACTAAAAAAGACGGGTAGTGGCATTTTATCCAAAAGAACCACTGTTTGTTTTAATCTTGTTAGCTCAGAGCTACAAGATTTGAAATTATATCTATCCAGGTAGTTGTAGGGAACAGCAAGACTGAAACAGATAACTGAATCAAATTAGAAGATAGCGTAAGTTATTCCTTAAGCATCTGTATGTAATGTATGGGAAGAAAAATGGTTCTGTGGGGGAATTAGTTTTTGAAGATGCTCACTGGAGACCTCATGTAACTGGGAGTAAAATGCCACCAAATTAAAGACAGGCAGTTATCCAACATGCATAAAAAAATACTGCATCCAGTCTAATAATGTTGCAAACTTCTTAGGACTGAGAAGGTGAATTTAACATGAATGAGATGTTGGGTTTTGTACATGAAAAATTATTCTGACCAGTTCTCATTCATTAGGGGAGAATTCTAATCATGTGTTTGTGTGAGTGTGAAAATGTGAAAATGAAAAAGTTGAAAGTGGAAATTCCTTTTTAAAATTCTCTATTGAGAAATCATTGATCAATAAAAAAAGGCCAGTTTTGGATAAGAGCTCAACCTACATTAGAGATAACATGAAAGCAGAAACTAGAAATATAAACACTTGTAATAATTAATGGAAAAGAGAGGATACATGTGGAAATCAAGACACATTAGAGAATATGAAGTGTAGAAAATTGAAAATAGAAGCTAAGTGTGTTAAGTAAAAGCCCAAGTCTTACAACACTCAGGATAATGGGAATTTCTCTGTTGTATTATGAATAAAAATGTTTGTATAAATGGTGTTGAACTATTTTTAGAAAGAAGTGGAAAATAAGGTGTTTGGAATTAGGAAAATTAGAAATTAGTAATTTATTCACATAACGTGAAGAATATGAAGTTCTCCCCAGCTGGTGTAAATAGTTCTCTTCCAAGAGTCCTGAAAGAATTGGCCGAGGAGATCTCTGGGCTACTGATGGTAAATTTAATGAGTTTGGGGACTCAGGGAATTCAAGAATATTGGAAGAGCTTAGGTGTTAGAGTACTGGTTTGAAAAGAAAAGGGAAGCACCATTAACCAGGTAACTGGATTTTTATAAAAATCACAGCATTGGAGAGGATTTGAGAAGTCGTTTAGCTCCCCCCCTCTGCCCCAAGGCAACATGAGATTATGTAGAAACCAGGTCTGACAGTGTTTAACGTGTCTTAATAGTGGAGATTCCCCAACTTCCCGATTAGTCTCAACTATCCCTCTTCTTTACAACTGCAGGAGTAGTAAGGATTTTCCTGAAACCTAACATAAAACTCTTTTTACTGTAATTTAAATCCCTTCTTCATTCTTGGCCATTAACATAGAGAACAGATTATTCTCTTCTGCCTTAAACAGCCTTTTACACACTAGAAGATTGCTAGTGGATAGTCCTTCTAATTTAACCTCCAAGGTGAATGACTCCAGTGCACTCAGACCTTCCAGAACACAGCCTTTCTAGAGATCTTGTCATTCCTGTTGCACTCCTGTGGTGTCTTTGTGACTGATCCAGGTATTTTTTGAAGTAAGCACTGAAAACTCGACACAGGACTGCTGCTAAAGGCTTACAAATGCTGAAGAGAGGGGAAGCTTTACTCTCTATATATTTTGCTGGCTAAAATCCTGTTTGTTTATCTTAGTCAAACAGCGTTGTCGATACTTTGTTTACTATATGATTTGCTGTGACTCCTATATACTTTCCTGGCAGAATTGCTATCTAGGTAGGTGCTCCTTGTCCTTTATTACTGCAGCTCGTTAATCTTGCCTAAACCAGATAGCTGTTGCATGCAAAATAATGGAAATGCTGGAAAAAGATTCAATTGATACGTATATAATGAATGCCAGTACATTTATTTTATGGAAAACAGGCCTGGTCAAAAACCCAAGCATTCAAATAATTTTTCCCAGTTGATTACATGTTAATTGCCAAAGGTAACTTGCATATTGCATATCTCCCTCTTCTTTCTGTTTTCCTCAGGCAGACAAGCCACAGAGGTAATATGTTTAGATTTTGTAAAGTATGACAAAATATCACAAAGTGTTCTGATAGTAAAAAGCTTACCAAATCTTTTAGTAAATGGATTTGAAAAAACTGAGGTCTAAGAAACCTTAAAGTAGTTTTCAGTGACTGTTAAATCACAGAATTTGAGATATTCCTTATACACCATTCAAAACCCTAACTGGTCAACGTTTTTCAGTAGTAACATGGAAATAAATATAAAATCAATAGCTAACGAGAGAGTAGTAAGTAAATAAAGAGGATGTGCAGAGAGAGAACAGCCTTTATCACTTAGTAAAGGTCAGCCCTTAAAAGTAAAACTTGTTTTAATATAAACAAATGGATCTTTGTTTGTTCAAGAACAAAAATGCAACCTAAACTGAAAAATAATGATGAAAAGGAGTGATTCTGTAAAGGACAGTGATATTGATACACTAATAACTGCCTATGAGTGCAATGCTGCAGTAAAAATAGGCTAATGTGACCTTGGATATATAAACAGGATATAAAAACAGGCAGGATTCTTTATCTTAATGTATACTGTTAGAAGGAATTATTTCAGAATACTGCAGGTGATTCTATTTTTAAAAATGAAAAAGACCATAAAACCTGAAAAAAAAGTGCAGACACTTCAGAAGAGAGCAACAATTCTCTTGGGAGCTGAAAATCAGAGACTTTAGAAGCTCAGTGTGTTTGTCTTATAAACTGATTGCAGTCAATAAGTAAGTTCTCAGAGGAAAAAAAAAATTGTGCCAGTTTTGCCTGTTTCTGGGTATCATCTGTGATGACTGCCTACCCTTCTGGAAGCTACTGAAACTTTCCGTCTTTTATTTGGGCATCTTTTACCCAGTGCAGCGGAGAGATTCTGCACACGGGAAATCCGTAGTTCCCGAGCGCATGGCGTGCATTTGTGGGCGAAGCCACAGAGCAGGCAAATAGGGCGAATGTGCTGCCAGGCTAAGCAGCAAATGCTCCCCGCTCCCAACGCAGGCACCTGGCAAGTCTCTGCCAGCCCAGCAGTTGTCAGCTGGGTGGGATGTGTTGGAGTGAGCTGGTCTGTGTCTTGCCAAGTTGTCTTCTTCTGAGTCTCGGCATTTTTTCTTGGGGTTTTCCCTCACTGGTATTTTTCTGCAGCTCCCTGAGTTACTAGTGTTGTCTTCAGAAATTAATGTCTGTTTGTCATTCTATTTTCCTTGCAAATCTTTGGCTTACCCACTATAGAGGTAACAGTGAAATCTATTAGTCCACAGTGAGTGGGAGGTCAAGCTGGGTGATCTGATGGCCTGTTCTGATGTCAGACTATGATTCCATGAAGTTGGCTGAAATCCTTTATTCATTTAAAACTGTTAGGTCAGACTGTCTGGAGGTGTGTAAAGAAGAAGAGGAGAAAAGAAACTGGTGAAATGAATGTTTGGAAGGCTTTTTCCTTGGTTGTACAGACAAGATTGTAGCGTTCCTCTTCAGAACAGTATTTTGGAATTAGAATTGAAATTCCACACCATCAGCCCTCAGAGCTCTGCTCATCATAATTTTAAATAAAACGGTTCCCTCAGGACTGGGCAAAACCTCTGAAAAGATTAATTTCAGTTGTGAAGTCTAATAATAGCAGTGTAAGATATGTCTAAAAAAAAGAAAACTGGAGCTCAATATGGCATAATGAGTTCTAGTAATGTAATATCTATTAAAGTATGTACTGGAAAACAAAGCTAAACACTTTTAAATTCTAAGTATGAACCGTGCAGTTAACTAGAACAATACATACAGGTTTACAGCTGTATGTATAAGTCTATATTATTGTTGGGCAAGTGACAGTATCCCTAGCTTGGTTGTTTAAGGAAGGACATGCAGATGCTAAATCTAAGTTCTTTTTATCCAAAGAGATTTTTTTTAAAGGGTGTTTGAGTTCATTTTGAATCGGGACATGACTTTGTAATGGCAGATCTACACTCTCACTCTTGTTCACTCTGCAGGTTTTACACTCTACGTCACCTCAAAAAACTGGCTGCTACAAGTGGATGTCAGAAATGTCAATAACATTGCTCTAGTTGCAACCAATTTATTTATAGCTTTTTTTCATAAATATTAACTGCAGTAGTTTCAGACACGCTTGCTTATCCTGGCAGTTAATGGCTTGTCCATAATGGCCACTTTGCATGAAGTCTCATTTAAGAGGAATGGGGCTTTTTATGGCATATAAAGGAATATAAATAAGTAAACATAGGGACAAGGGTCACTAAATATAGCTTCCTGGTTCCATTAACTTTTTAGGGAATTTTCTCTCGTTTTAAGCATCATACGTGTAGTGTCCACCATCTCTTTTTAGTCCCTTATGCATGTGAATTTCCAGTTCTTTAGACACTTTCACTGTTCTGCCGTCAGAGGAGAAGCGTTCATTCCTGCATGTAATTCAGATGTATACATGTGGGCATTCATCTTAGTCTGGATTTTTTTGGCAGAGTGAATTTTCTGCCAAGGAGCTGCGAGTTGGAAGCTTCTTGGCAGTGCAAATTTGTCTGCCATCAGGTCTGTGCTTCTGGGGCTAGACTGCTTCTTAATTACCTCATTTAAAGATAGCTTGGGTATCTCTGTCCCACACTGAAGTCTATCATGTAGATATCTCCAAATCACTGAAGTGTGCAAGGATTTTATTACTTTAGCCGTGTCCTCATTTGTATAGCCAGCTCTGTTGATTTCACCACTTTACTGGGGTTTGTATTTCTTTGCCATAAACATAATGTTTACTTGATCTGCCAGAATTTGCACATTTTTGATTGATAATTATTTTATGTCTTGTAATACAAGTACTGTTGGAAAGACAATCTTTTAATTTTTATGATTTTCATTTCTGGTTCTGAAGGTGATAGCATTCTAATTCTGGTTAGTAGTTGTTTGGTTGTTCAAATTCTCCAGTTTGAGGATTTAACAGATTGGTGGATATAGGTGACCATATGTCAGCATACAAGATGCTTGATATGTAAAACGTATCAAAAATTGTATTTTAACAAAACTCAGTTATTTGATGGGGATCACTTTGTAAATGTATACAACAAATATTATTAGGTCATGGTTCAACTAAATTTAAACTTAGCATACTTTCAGTGATGAATTTACTCTAGTTTTTTTTTTTTTAAATGTATAGCTTTGAGCTTTCAAGCAGTACTTGATTAATTTGTGCAAGGAATTAATTAATTCAGGCTCCACTGAAGAAATGAATTAGTTTTCATTCCTGTATTTTGGGGCTTGTTCCTTGGAAGTATTGGTTTTGAATACCTGGATGATGTTTATTAAATCATGGTCCTGCTACCAGAAAAATTGTGAAACTGAAATGGTACTTCAAGCCCCAACGCTGTTTGTAAAAACAGTTAATTTCTGCCTGCAGATCCATAGGTTTAGCAGTAACATATAGTGTTTTCATTTGATTATTTATTTAATTCTGTATTAAAGAATTAAAATATCATCAGAATAACACCTGATAACTAGCAAGATATAACCTCAGCTGAAAAGCAAATATATTAACAAATAGTCCATGTTTGCTGGGTGGAGAGAGGAGTGGAGCAGAGATGGAGAGATGGAGGGAAGAAAACAAACTCCTAAGATGAACTGAAATATTCTCAGAAGCCAGCTGAGCATTTGGTCTTCTCTATGAAAGGGAAAAGTCTAAACCCAGTGGCTTAATTTTTTTGGAGGTGACAGATCCCCAATACATTATAACTTTACTTAGGAAACTGTTGCATCACAGGCCAAATGGGAAGATGCTTTTCTGACTCTTCAACAAGAGAATGGTAACCTGATGCAAATAGAAAATACTATGACAGCTGTAAATCACAGCTTTGTAAGTAAGCCGAAGGCAGCAATAGTCTCAGTGGGGATAGTGATTCCATTTTTTGGAAGTAAAATAAGGCTTGTAAAAAAATGTTTAATTTATCTTCAAGTTATTCACAAAGCTTCATAGACTGGTGAAGTGGTGAAGAAGTGGAGAGCACAATACTCCCCTCTGTTGAATATCCTTTTTAAAATGTCATTAGTTTCTTCAAATAAATCATTAAACTTTTATTTGGTTAATGCTGAGCTTGTTACTGGACTGTAAATCTGCTGATAAGACTATTTCAGTTTCAGGTTAAAAGTCAACATACATTCAAATATAGAGGAACTCTAATTGTCACTAATACAAAAGACAAAGGAAGATGCTAGGTCAAGTTTCCTCTAATAAGCTGGCGAGTTCACAGTTTCCATGCCAATGTGCCTTTTCCACAAGGCAAAAAAATATGACCTGGCTGCTGCTGCTGCTGCTGCTGCTGCTGTAGTGCTTTATAGAAACACATTATAGATAGCTGTACATTGATTGTTTGGACAGATAAGAGGTGGAAGATAGTGTGCAACAGCATAAAACCCCCAAATGTATGGGTAGTGGTGTCATGTTCCAAACTAATAGCTTCATTTTTCGCCATCATTTAACCACGCAAAGAAGAACTGGAATTTGTGGGCTGTAAGGAGGAACTGAGCATTCAAAACACACTAACTTGATAATTAAAATAAACTGCCCTATACAATGCTTAATTTAATGTTTAAATCCTAATTCACATTTCTTAAATTAGAGGGTCAGATTAAACAATTCCATTAGAGGGCAGTAGTACATGTAGGTACAATGACTCATGTACTAAATATTTAGTTTACAGTCAGCTTCCTTATCACTGTGAGCTGTGTTCTGTATAATTTTTGCATTATTAGTGAAAGGAAGAGAAAAATGAAGCTAATGTAATTTAACATATTAAAATAATGCAGGAACATTTTGTAATATACAAGTACCATAATGCACATCCTGTCATATATTAAAAAACCCAAATGAATATGGCAGAAACGATGCAAAATATATATAGCAGCTTTCAACACTGTGATATTCCAGCTAAAATATCAGCTCTAAAATGGTTAGTCTTTGTGTTCTTTCTGAATTATACAATTTTTATATTGTATAACTTTATTTCTGGGAAGGTTATTGGGGTTTTTTTTGTTTTAAATCTTACTTTTGAAAGTCTGTTTTTCTTTATTTTATTAGCTTCAATGCTTAAGTCCATGTGCAGACTTTGTAGATTTCCAGGCAAGGGATTGCAGAAATGTGCATGCTTATTCAGGCACTTTTTAATGATTAAGCATTGGTAGTGTATTGTGATTTGGCAATGATTTCTGCAAAAGATTTAGGTTTTGTGTGAGTTGTATCTTCTGAGACATTTGATAATGAAATGTAAGCCATGAAAGCCTAAATGTTTAGGTTCTGTTTGTATTCATACTCCGACATTTTAATTGCTTTAATAGCTTTAAGCAGATGTACCTGGCTAATATGGCCAGTTCAATTCATACCAGTTTAATACTTTACTCTGTTGTATATGTCTAATCCAAGCAATACTGCAAACATACCATTTCTTTTTCCATTTTCAGTTGTGTTACTTGATACGACAGCTGCCCTCGGAGAACTAGGATGGAAAACATTTCCTTTAAATGGGGTAAGTCACTCACCATTTTGGTTTTATTGTCTTGATTTTGGCATTCTGCCACTGTGGAAGTGAATGGCTATTATACCTGGGTGGATATTCTTACAATATAGACTTGTCAGAAGGATTTTAGCCGTTCTCAGGACTGGAGCAGCCTGTGTCGTAAGTAGGAATAACAGACATGAGAATGACATGAGTACACATTATTAGGCCCTTCTCTTGCTTTTCTGAGTGTTAAGAATTTATCTTACTTTAAATCTGATTCTAACTGTAACACATCATAAGGTTCCATATTAAAAATTCCTATGCTGGAGGAATGTGTTATGACTACATTTTTTGTGAAATAAAAGGAAAAATCAATTTTTATTTTATAACTTGAAACACTAATAATTTAAGTGAGGATTAATATAGACTTTACCATTTTGCCAGATGCTATCAGGTTAGCTAAATCAGAAAAATGTTATAAATATGTTAATGTCATTAAACCAGGCTAAACAGAGAAAATATTTAAATAGTTGGGGTTTTTTTTCCTGCACTGACCCTTCTAGATTAAAGTTCGCTATTCTGGTTTAATGTCTTACACGGGTTCACTGTACTGTTAGTACAGATTGCTTGGAGGCACTTGACATTGCATATAGGGCCACAGAGTGTTAGAGGTGTCTGGTATACTTGGAGATGGTGTGGCCAGGTGAGCGTGGCAAAGAGGAGCATTTTTACTCTTTGAAGTTCAACCATCAGTGCTTTGCCAGTGGCTACGCTTCCAAAGCCTGTCTTCTCTTTCCACCCAGCTAATGCACGTAGCAGAATATCAGAGGCATTTGTAGTTTAACTTTTTAATTAAGATACAGTATACTGGAGCATTTAACACCTATTGTATCAGCTTCTAGTTCTGATGTCACTGTACATATTGTATATCACTTATTATTATATTAGCTGGCATTATCTCTTAATTCTTGTGTATGAGGCATATAATTACTTGCTTCTCTGAAATGAGCTCAGAAAATACTGTTTTTCTCAGTGAAAAATCTTGTTTCATTTTTAGTTATTTTATTTCTTGTGATCTGTTCCAGAAGGAAATAGAAAGTGTCTATCCTCAGCACCTTAATAATCCATTTTTATAAAATGCCTTCTGTGTCTCTGCCCTGAGGGTTTTCAAGCAATGTGACATTTCTTAATCTCAGCCTATTTTCAACTTTATGGAATACTCTTTTTCAAGGTTTTCCAGTTCTTTATACCCCTTGGCATAATTTCAGTCTGTAACAGATACTTCTGTGTTTTACATTTCGTATGCAATCTCGTGCAATCTGAGTTATAATTCTGAAAGTTTTATTTCCTTCAAAAATCCTAGACAAAGCAAATACTGTCATATACCATGATGAGAAAATACAGCAAGGAATTTTTTGCTCTAGCTTTGTGATGAGCTCCATTGAATTGAACAGGGAGGCTGGTATTTGAAAAGCACACAAGATGTAATTTCAGTTATTCTGTAAATACTTAAAAGCTTTAGTTACTCCAATAACAATAACCATAATATACAAGCACAAAAAAACCTGCACTCAAAGTTGATTTAAAACATAGCTATTACAGCATATCTATTTTGCTTGGTCATACATACCTTTAAAATGAGTTTTGCAGCATATTGAAGTTTTCAGGTATCTTAGGAGCTTTGCAATGCTTTAAGAATTGGCAGCACTTACTAGAATACAAGGAGTTTACATTTGAGTCAGTACTTGGGATTAACTTGTTAGAGAATTTCCCAAATAAGTACAATTTGGGTTTTAAAAAAAGTAGCTAGAGTAAGTATGTGGGAGAAAAGTGGTTTGTAGCATGAGGAAAACATACAAAATAAGTCTTCCTGGGACATAAAGTAGGCAGAAAAGGCAGGAGTGAAAACTGTGAGAGGAACTGGATAAACTAAGTATGGAGAGGTAGTTAAGAGAAGTGTGCATGTACTGTTAACTCAGGAAGAAAATATGTCTAAACTGTTGATGAATTAATCTAAGCTGTAAATGGGATAAAGATTCACGTGCACTACAACAAAGAAGTTTTTGAACAAACTTTTTGGAAAGTTGTACAGGTGAGAATACATGATTTGGGGAAGCATGATCCATTTAAGAGAGAGACTTAAGATATTGGGCACACACAGCAGGAGATGACTGGATATGCTGACAAACAGGGTCCTCCATTTCTCACAGTGGAATGAAGGAAAATGCCTTAGGTCAGCACTCCAGGAAAGGCTGCTGTGAGCAGTAGGACCTACTGGCAATGCTGCACCTCTGAAGTGGTGCAGAAAGAAGGAACAAACAAAAACCGAAAATAAATAGTGGAGACAAATAACTTATATGAAATGAGAGTTATTTCTCTCACTGAGAGTTACGCAGAACTGCTGATTAAAATCGATGTTTGCTGATTTTTCAGAGTTAGTGTCGTTCTGACAAACTTCATTAAAATATACCAGATGTACATTTTGGTTTAGATATTTGATCATACTGAAAAATCTCATAAAGCTATTAAAATATGAAAAGTTACATTACTTTGGCTTATAAAATACTAAAGACACTAAAGTTAAAAACTGAACTGGAATGTATTTCTAAGCTGTTTCTATTTAAATTATTCTGGGATCCTGTACCTTACACAAAGGTAAGAAGAAAATTGAGCTTACAAGTGCTCATGTAATTAACAGAATATGACATTTGTATGCTTCTTCATGTCACTTTTGTATGCAACCTCTGAAACAAAAGGCCAATGTTCATGTTAATTACTACTTGATTCTTATTAAAATGTAAGGCAAAATAGTGCTTTTGGGGTTGGCTAATAACTCCTATTATACTTACTGATTTAGTAAAGAACAGTAAAACCGTTGTATTTCTAAATCCTGCACAAACATCAGAGATGTTGTTTTATGCCCACAGTGCTGTCTAATCTGAGTTACTTATCTGTCCTAATATAATTCAGAATATGGCATAATTATTGATGTGATTGAGATTATCACTGCAGAAATAAGAACCTATTTTGTCCCATGATGGGCACATCAACATTTTCCCTTTCTCTGGAGGAGAGTGACAGGTTTTGGTTCGTCTGTGCTTTTGATAGAGATTTTTGTTCAGATACTGTGTAAATCTTACATGTTACTTTAATCAAACTCCCCCCCCCCCAAAAAAAAAAAGTGTGTATGTGGTGTCTACATATGTAAGAAAAATGTCATTGACATATGGTTACTACTCTGATGAACATTTTTGAGGTTAGGAGGATGGGACGATAGGTTTTCTTGAGACTGTGACATTAACAGAAGTCAATAATTTACTGGCATCCTCAAGTCACAAAGAATGTTTCCATTAAATTAAACACAACTGAAATATTAATGCTTGGGATTTGGGTAATATTGAGTATGCCTCAGAGATTTTAAACTAACAGGCCAGGGTGAAGTAGGAGAAAAAATTAGGAGGTATTCTTTTGGAATTTGCAGAACCTTAACCTTCACCTCCCAGACTTTTTATTTATAGTAGATTTGTAACGTAATGTTTGCAAGCTTTCAGCAGTTTTGGTAACCTCTAGAGGTACCTACCCAAGCAAGTAAAGATAACAACACAGTAGTTTTGTATGTGGCATTTGTATGCAATCCCGTCATTTAGCTGCAAAGATGAGTCATGCACAACTGTGTTATCCATTTCTTGGTAATATAATATGTGATTTTATTTTTTTGTTTTCTTCCCAGTTATTGGTACAACCTTCCTGAAACATGAGAATACAATAGTTTTTCTTTCAAATGTGTTTTCTTTATTTGCTTGTCGGATTTTTTCCTTGTATTTTGAAGGTAATAAATCAAGTGCTTAGAGCTACAAAAATGCAGCGTAAAACATTAATATCTGTGAGGTCAATAGAATCAGCTTTTGTTGATTGAGTTCCAATTTAGCTTCTCGGTGATGGGCTGTCTAAAATTTCTACTTTAATAATGGACACATCTGATACTTCCTCTGTTCTTTGGGCTATAGTTCAAAATGACTGATTGATTTATGAAAAAGCATGTGCTGTGGAATGAAAGTAGATATTTACTGAACAAACTGTCACTCCATAACCTTGAAAATACAGAATAAGTTTTTTTGGACTGGTGCAAAAAATGGGAAGGAACCCCTTCATAAGTTTCAAAAGAGGATGTGAATGTGAGCTAGTGGGCAGGCTAGTTGAGTTCATGTGAACCATTATCCAGGGTTCCAGCTGAAGCTGGTTCGCTGACCTTGGAGACGGTTATTTTTCTCAGGTTTTCTCACTACAGCCTGTGGTGCTGTGACTGTTAGAAGGGCATTTTTTTTCTAGAGGATTAAGCACTGTTTAAGTGGTTAATAAGGTTTTGAAAATTAGGGAGGAAAAAAACAGAAAGCCTAACTGAAATGTAGTGGTCCACAACCTTCACTTACCCATTAGCAGTAATACTAGTAAAATAATGTACCTTGGGCAACTCCAGTTGTTGGGTTTTTTCCTTCTGACTTCAATGTAACTTTTTTTTTAATTATTATTTATTTCCCATTGCATTAAGAAATGTAACACAATTTTGTGAGCAAAGTTTGCTCATGAGCTGTGGTTTGGAGACGGTTGTGATAAGGGCCTGCGTATTCCTGATAAACTTCTACCATAAGTACTACTATAGCAATGCCTTGTTTTGCATAAGCTGAATCTACTTTGCAACGGTTAATTTGGAATAAAATGCTCTTATTTGAAGAAGAAAATTAATCATGAAAAAATATTCTGCTTCTAACATTAATCTAAATTTTAACTTGTGTGTAGCCACTTCATAAACTCCAAAAATATTTTAAAATTAGTGTAATAGAAGGGCAAGGTGACTCATAACACAAGGCTGTGAGAAATTATTTACATGTGGAAGAGGCTTGTACGAGCTACCTTGACTTGTCATGGTAGGCAGAATGTATAGCCTCAGCAGTAAAGAAGTCCTCTAAATTATTTGACAACTGTGTGAGTGATGAAACTATTTTAATCCCAGTTCCTGCAGTTATTTG